TTCTCTCTCCACAAAAACCGCTTTCTTTTGGGTACTGATTCAAATCTAATTGATCAGGTGATGCCTTAAACTGGTGGAAAGATCAAATTTGAAAACTGGTACCCTTCGAATGTGAAAACTAACCACAGTGAGCAGTTTAATGACCCAAACAGGGACTGTTGAACTTCGAAAACCAGTGGTTCGAGTTGTTGTAACAGTTGTTCTGCTTACGATCGGCATTTCCTATGAAAAAGTTTGTCAGATCAGTTAGTTTTCTAACCTGAAAAAACATTTTGAACCTGAAAATGTTGGCTATACAAACTAGGAATAAAATCGCTCCATCTTACCATTTACTAACATTTGGTATTTTGAAATACGTATTTCCACAAGAATCATGGAAGACTTCTGAATAACTCGAAAAACAGAAAAACTGTTGATTGGAAATAGAAAAAGAAAAATTATACTAGCATTAACTTGTTCTAAAATATCCATATCCTAAAATCAATCATTATCTATGATAAATCAATAGATTCTATCAGCTATGATGGCTTTTAAATAAGATTGCCACCTTCCAAGATCCTAAAATGTCACAAAAGTAACTCCGAATGATAAAGTTCACACTTTAGAATCCAAAAATAACCCAACAATGCTGAGGAACAGTGATGAGTAAGAGCAATGAAAGACGAAGTATGTTCTGTTAGCGAAAAAAAGAAACGAAAGAAGAGTAATTTTAAAGGGAGAGGACTTTAACAGGTGCCTACATCAGAGATTCGACAAAGAAGAAAAGCAATACAATCTATGTTGGATGTATTCTATAGATGCATAACAGATGCACCAAACAGACAATGTTGTAACACTCACTTTACATTTCTATTGAAAATAGCCAGGAATGAACATTAATCGGGGACTGACTTTTCATGAACATTAGTTGGCTACGGCTCTTATCAGCGATTGCAACATGATCAATTGTTTTAGCTCTAGCAAGAACTAAATGACTGAACAATTAATTTGTGGACAGTGGCCGTTTTTAGGTCCATGAAATGACCAATGATGACCTAGTAATGAATTGTGGTGATAGAAATGATACAAACTGGGAACACCGGAAGCAGAAGTTTATTATGATCCAATGTTCTTGTCATGAAATCATTCTTGAAAAAAGTATATGAAAAATCAGTTTCATTTTTCCGCCCCTTCCCTTCGATGTTATTTCTCAAATCATTTGATTAATTGAAATGTTGGGAAGACATCAATAGGATTATTCTTATTTATAGTAGAAATTAAAAAAAACACTAAATGGAAAATATGATATTGAATGTTGAGGAAGTTCATTTGTGCCTAACAGAAAAGAATATGAGAAGCAAACGATCTCATCTCATATCTCACTTAGAAATGATTAATGAGTTAGGGGAGAGCGCATATCCATAAGTTACATCTATCTCCTCTCCTCTTCTCTCACTTTGCGGTTCTTTTTTGATTCCTACCTGTAATTTCAGGGCATAACCAACTCACCTAATTCAGGTTAGAATTGCAAGAAGAATACGGACAACCTAGCATACAATGCATTACCACCTGATCTTTCATATTACAAATGGATCGAGCCAAGGTGAATATTAGGGTCTAGCATGACTCATTAATCATTCGTCATAAAACCTGAAATTTACAAACTAAAAAAAGAAAGAAATAAGAAATACCTATACCTGCTGAATACTGTGGCTGTTGTTCCTTTAGTTTTGGCAGTAAACACCAACTCTTCCTCTTTCTCTTTCTCTCTCTCCCTATCTTCTTATAATTTACTGATTTACTAATTCGAAGTAATAGATAGAAGATGGAAGAATAACATATGTCTGAAACCGGCAAACAATATCATGAACTTGATTTCGCGTAACTTTTTTAGGACTTTACACGCATTTCAATATCTCTTCCTTCATTTTTTATTACAAGAGAGAGAGAGAGAGAGAGAGGAGGAGAGAGAAGAAG